ATATAGTATTAGTATATATATATATATATATATATATATATATATATATATATATATATATAATATATATATATATATATATATATATATATATATATATATATCATACATACAAAGCCTCGAGTACCATTATTTATAATTTGAAGACAGCACAGGTACTCGGGCAGATACAGCGTATTTTTAGATTTGATTGGCGTGTCCTTTCAGAATCAGAGATCCACAACAAGAGCAACATCTAGCTGCCGAAAAGAAATACCCCCAAAACTGGGTCCGGTCGGTTATAAAATAACGATTTGCGGGTACATACCGAATATTTTAAAAATATGTAAGTGGCCCTCCCGGCCTCCCCACCTGTCTAAGTTTGTTGATGCCTCTTGTTCTGAGGACCCATTTTTTTTATAAAACAGGTGCCTATTATACCTGCACCTGTTGAGCGGCTGAAGCCTGAGACTGAGAGCCTAGTACGAGAGAGACGCTTAGGTGTTCACTCTTCTATACAAATCGTGATGTCACTGAGTAGAGAGTACGATGCTGCCGCCAGCTACAATTCCCGGCCTGTATTTCCTGCACAATAAAAATGTCACCAGTGTCGTGTGTTTGATATATATACATTTTTTACAATAATATATAGTATATTTTAAAAAAGCATGACACTTGAACCTAAATATACAATTTTTGTTTATATTTTCAATATGAAGGAGGGTTATTAGGAGGCTATGACTATTCCTGTATTTCAGTATTGTGAATTCCAGCGCGCAAGTTCCCAAAAAAAAATTGTTTTCAGGCTATTTTTAAAATAAACATCTATCTTAGCCTCCTAAATAATAGATGCATATATAGAAGTAGAACACCTAAAATAATTATAAATTGTTGCTTTAGAAGGCTTGTAAAAATAATTTTATAAAATAGAAGGCTACGATAAATAAATAAAATTATAAATACAGTATCCTCTATTCCTTCCTCTCTCTCTCTATTTAACTCTCTCTACTCTCTATAGAGAGTAGAGAGAATACCGACTAAAGACAAATTTATACCAATGGGACATTGGGATTTGGATGTCCTGTACAGTGATAAAAAATTTCGGGTTTTGTCCTGTTTAGGAGGCTTTGGATTTTTAGCTGAAAAATCAAAAATAGGATGATTTGATGTTTTTTATTTAGAATTTAAGATGTTTAGGAATTTTGAATGTGAAAACTGAAAATGTATTGAAAGAAAAAGGATTTGTAAATAAATAGATGGATTGGCTTGTTTAATGTAGACAACTCTGTTAGGCTCGAAATCGCACAACAGTATTTACTGCGGCTGGGCGGCTGGGAATCTGGGCCGCTGTGAACCTCTTTAACTTTTTTAAATCTTAAGCCTGCCTGCATTACGTCTGTCTTTTGCAATTGCCTGTATCACGACAGTCGTTTGAAATTGCCTGTATTTATTACGTTCGTGTTAGCCTTCCTATGATGCATAGGCCAAGAACCTCCGTCTCCGGGTCGATTTTGTAACGTAAGTAAATAAATGACTCTCGAAGTAATGCCCTGGAAGAGACGCGTCGAATGAGCCAATGTTCATTTTTCCCTTCCTTTTTTTTTACCCCGACCCCTATACCCCCATCAAGCCACCACCCCAACTTTCACTAGGTAAAATGGACTTTTGGAAATTCTTAATGTTTTACACTAGATCAAATCCACTTTTTGAAGCCTGAAACCTGATTCTGAAAAAAGCCATGTTTACAGATATTGTAAAAAATACATACACAAACCATATCCTTCTTCATGTATATTTTAGAAGGCTATGCACAAACACAAAAACACAGTAAAACCACATGTATTCACAAAGTCAAACAGAAGAACTTTCAACTCAATTGGCTGCTCATATAGTAGCCTATTGAGGTTCTCCACCACAAACTGATGCACCTATATCTCTTATGCTTATATCTGTCCAGGCCCCAGAGCCTTCACACTGCTTACCTTAATCATATACATATTACATACTCTTGCAAAAAAAACTGAATGTCAAAAAAACTGAATGTCTCTGATTCTAGTCACTCTAAATAAAGAGACTCTCTAGTCTCTACTCTCTACTAGATACTAAATAGTAAAAGAGTACTCTTTAGTCTATACTCTCTATAGTCTATACACTATACACTATACGGTAACGGCAGTAACGGCAGTACGGCACCGCCGCACATAATATTATTAACGCCCCCTGTCCAAAGTCCAAACCGCATCCGATTCATATTTATATTTGGTGTTTGTTTGTTTTTTTTATAAAAAACAAATCATATACAAATGGCAAACATAGTAGAGAAATATAGTACAAATATCTATTTATTTATTTTAAATTGAACAGTACAAAAATTTACAAAGGAGATGAAATGGTGATATTAGAAAAAATAAAATGCAGGCCCTTTTTTTTTAATGGTATTGCGGGAGAGTGGCTGTGCCTTTGGTGCGATCGACCAACTGAATAAATAGCTGGAATTGCCTAGAAATTATAGAGGACAGGGCGTGAGGGCGACAGACACTTTGACTTTGGGGCATCTCGGGTTTTGATAAATAATGTCGTCAGGGACTTAGAAAAGCTTACGCTTTCAGCAATAAATAGTAATTTAGAATGGACTATTTTGAATGGCTCACCCAAAAAGTGACTCGCTCCAGGCTAAACTATAAATCACCAATATAGATAGTATTTGACAATTGACACGAGGGTCAGGCCATAGAATGAAGAAAGAAAAAATGCGCCACCTGCTAACGACCCATATATTTCTTACTATCGGCGGATAATTATGACTGCCAACAGAAACACATTATTAAAGAGTATTATCGAACTACCTATTGGATAGTAGAATATCAGTCCATCATCTCTTAATACTATTGTTACTGGATACAAGCTTTGCCCCATATTCGTAGGCCAATATACGCAGCATCGATGACCGCTTTCTCTGATCTCTCTATCTCTCTCCCTCCCCTACTCTCTCTACTACTACTAAATAGTAGAGAAAGAGAGAGAGAGAGAGAGTAGAGTAGTAGAGTAGTAGTAAATAAGTAGAAAGAGAGAACGACCAGAATTTTCCCGGTGGTGAAAATACTTCTAGATGTTCTAAATATATATTTTTTGAAATATACATGCATTATTTAAAAAATACTATTCAAATTGATCATTCCTGTTATAAATGACACCTTTTTTTCAAAACAAAACACTGGTCTTTTTACAAAACACTGGTCTTTTTGTTTTTAAAAACAACTATTTTGTTCAAAAGAGCAAGAGCTACAAAAGAATTCTCACTGAGCCCGCAGAATCTAAACTCAACGGGCGACGGGCGTCTTCACTCTCGTCATCAGTCGTCAACTCGCCAGTCGCCACTCGCCAGTCGCCACTCGTTAACTCGTCAACATTGATCCTATATTTTGTCTCTGTTCTGTTTTCTTGAAAAATCAAAAACAATATATGTAATAAAAAATTATAAATATGTAGATTTGTTGTTTTTGTTTTAAAAAACATTCAGAAAAAGCAGAAATCATACTCGCAAAGTGCAAACTTGTTACAACCGAACATTTCCTTTTTGAAAATATTGCATAAAAATCTGACCTCTTGAAAGAGATTTTAAAAAAGAGGCTCTTTTATTTAGACTTATTAGAGACAAAAGCAAGTCAACAACTGAACACCAACTCCATCAATCTCCAGTTTCCACTTTCCAGTTCTCCACTCTCCAAGAACTTTTTCTTTTTAAACAAAAAGAAGTGACTAAGGAGTTCAAGACTTCAATACTCAGTCACCCACACAACAAGAGTAGAGAGAGAGAAGAAGACGGTCTCCAGTTTCTCCACAGACTCCACTCTCCTGTCTCAACATCAGAGACCAAAAATACACAAGACCAAGTCAACAGCGCGTCAGCGCCTATTGTAATATTGTTTTATCCTAAACCAAAAATATGTCATTGTATTGAGCGAACAAGATGCGCAAATAAATACAAAATTGATTTGTGATATCGAATTGGAAAAAAAATATTGTTTATTTTTTTGTTTGGTTATAAAAATGAATACCATTTGCTTGTCAAGATGTGCTCATAGAGTCAGAATGCAATCTGTGCCTTTGTACCATGAGCATAGGTCTATATATAGGCAAGATAATCAAAATAGATTTTCCTGAAGTGAAATCTAAACTTTTTCAACCTGTAATATTTACGGGGAAAAAGCAGTATAGTATTTTATCAGACTCGCAGAGCCTCTCACCGACTCACGGGCTCTCTCTTGAGAATAGAGAGTAGTCGGCACTCGTAAGCACACTGTTGACTTGTCAGTTGTCACTCTATCGTCTGAGTCCCGGCGGTCCGGCCTTAGTCTCAGAACTTCAGAAGTCAGGGCCTCAGCCCTCAGCCCTCAGCCCTCAGGCCTGAGACCTCACTCCTCACTCCTGAGTCCTCACTCTTCACTCTTCACTCCTCACTCCTCACTCCTAGTCCCTCACAGCCACAGGGCACAGGACTCATGGGGCGGGGCTTGGCCGCCAAGGCCGCAAGGGCCCCATGGAAAAGTGTAAACTCTCGCCACACGGGTGTATAGATCAGTATGTAGTTTTGAAGTGCGATTTTTACGAAATTTAATAAGACTGCGACCACTACGACTGCGACCGGGTCTTGCGACTACTATAACTTCGATTCTCGCCTGCGACAACTAAGGCTGAGGCTCTTGCCTGCGACCACTAAGTGAGGCTCGCGCATGCGACCGCTCAACCTGCCGCTCTCGCCTGCGACTCGTCTTAAGTCTGACCTCTCGCCAGGGAACACTAAACTTGACGCTCTCGCCTGCGACCCGTCTTATGTCTGACGCTTTTATTTGCGATTCTAGGGTTTTAGGGTTTTAAGGATATAAAAATTTCAGCCTCCTGAATAATCAACAATATCATAACCTCCTAAAAGAAACATATACATATATCGTAGCCCCCTGATAAAAAAGTAATTAGTTGTTGATTATTCAGGGAGCTATGCATATATACATACATTATATACATGTATACATATATACATATATACGTATATAATTATATACATATATTCGTGTATACATATATTAAAATATGTATATACATATTTATACCTGCATATACATACATAAACATATACATATACATATACATATACATATACATATACATATACATAGTACATATACATATCCATAGACTCATGTACATATACACATATACACATATGCTAATATACATATACATGTATGTACGTAAACACACATACACATATACATATTGTACATATATATATATATATATGTGTGTGTGTGTGTGTGTGTATACGTGTATTATATATAAACATATATTTATATAAATATATATATATACATATATATAAATGTACGTATGCATATATATATATATATATATATATGTATATGTATATGTATGCATATGTGCATGTGTGTGCGTGTGTGTCTACGTTATATATATATATCTATATTTCCTTCAATATATATCTATCTATATATATATGTGTGTGTGTGTGTGTGTGTTTGTAATTATGTGTGTGGTGTCTATAAATATATGTGTGTTTGTCTATATATATATGTGTGTGTGCGTGTGTGCGTGTGTGTATGTGTGCGCAAGTGTGCGTGTGTGCACACGTGCGTGTGTGTGTGTTTGTGCGTGTATACATATAGAGTTCGTTGTGTATAACGGGCTTTTTTCTTTCTAAATATATGGGTCATAGGCGTGACAGTTTTGGAATCATATTTAGTTGGATTTCTCTGCAGCGCTTGATTTGCCAGTCTAATCACTTCGTCTCGTGTCGCTATCGTTCGCAATCTCGGTGATCCCGCCATTTGATTTTGATCCGCGCGTCTTTTGTAGCAAAGCAGCAACTTCTTTCTCGTCAAATTTGACATCTGTCACTCCAGTTTCATCGTCCGTACCAGGACCAGAAGAGTCTGTATCGCCAGTCATGTTGTTGAGAATAAGCATACACCGTGTGGTGAACAAGCTAATAAGCCCTACTAAAATCTAGTAGAGTTCGAAAATATAAAGTTTATACACACAGACTCACAGTAGTTATGCCTGCGTTTCAGAAACTGGCTTTTTTTTTACTTTTTCCATAGAAGTTTGGTACAAATTGATATTGAACATAAAAATCAAAAACTGTACTTTTTGATGAACATTCGGCCAAATTGCGCCAAAAACTGGCTATTTCGAGGAACATTTTTCTGAAACGTCCAGTTTTGATATGTCATCAGAGAAATCTGATTGGTTAATTCTGGGACATTTGTTGAACAATTTTCAAAATGTTCCATAATTTTTATGGTTTTTTTCTTTCTGATAAAGAGTAGCCATAAGTGACCCAAATCCGTAGTTTTTGGGATTTCACCTTTTGGTTTCGGAGCTTTGACTGATTATGTGCTCCAATTTACCCGTCACTATAAAATTATTAACGCCCAAGCCTTAGTATTCAAATGTACAAATGAACCGAGTGAATTATTATGTTCTATAAAAGAAAATGCGGTTATGACGTTGTGTATGAAATCACAGAACAGGACAAAATCCCTTAGACTTGAAATTTACAACAGAACGGGACAAACCTAAATTCAACATTGTTGAACTACAGTGCAATTGTGCAAACCAAACGATCATATTTTACATAGTCTTGAGGCGTTGTATTCTATTTCAGGTAATAGGTGTAGATTGTGTACCGAAAACTGATACTTGACTGTTGTATCGGTAGATATTTATTTGCCAAGTGTACATGCTTAATAGTTCGGTACTTGGGCCAACGTCGCCTTACTTGGGCCCATAAATATCGACCCTACCTTTGTGAATGGACCAGATGCGGTTTTGGACTCAGGCTAGGGCGTTAATAGTTTTATAGTGACGGGTGTCGTATAGACAAAGTCGACAATTTGAACGAAATCGAGATTTCAAATAATGTCCGTAAACAAAAAGGTAGCTGACATCAGTATTTAGAAGCCCATAGCGAAAATCGATTTTGGGACATTCAAAAAAAGTCTCATCAGTAGAAGCCCATGGGCCATAGCCCTTGAGAAAATCGATTTTGGGTCATCCCAAAAAAAAATTGTGTCCAATATTACCGGGAAGGACCTGGTTCTTATCATGATGTATGTACCGCTGTGCGCCACCTGTAATTTTTTTTTTAAATATATCTGGGGTCTGTTGACAAAACATAATCTTACATAGGTAAAAAGCGCGGCAAAAAGGTATATCGAAAATACTGTAAAAAGCCGCTATTTATGTACAATCCATAGAGCCTCTCTAGAAAATAGAACATACATTCTTCTCAAAAATATATGAAGTGCATACATATATTGCGTAGTTCACAGGGTGAAGGCAGCCCATCAATAGTGCGCCCATATCTCAGGTGTGACACAATGTCTGCGAATTGAAGGTATCATGAGAATAAAACCTCCAAGCGACAATATTCATATATATTTATATATAAATATATATATATATATATTATATATATAGGGACTTCCGAGGATATATAGGAATTGTGAGCAGTTTTGAGGGATGATACATGCTTCTGGAGGATCATACAAAGAAATCTTTAAATAGCGTTAGATATTCTAATCAAGTGCTGCTCACGGATTCTCTCTCTGGACACGGCATAAAAGGCATGCCAACATAGGTATCGTACTAGTGAATATTTTTTTGTCTTGTCTGGCATACATGCCCTAACGAACATGTCAAACCTAGACGAAGGTCAGGATTACACCTTCCGCTCTCGTGATTTGCATTTATACAAACTCTTCAATACTGAGACGGGTACACGCGATAATAGAATTCCCCCTGCTGTAACATCGAAACGTGCATACGAAGCTTCGCCAGCATCAGCTTCTCACGTGAGTACTAAACTACCACGTACATATAACTACTCGAATACAACACCAGTACGCACACTTAAGGAACACGACACGACACGAGAGATAGAGCTGAGGAGAGCCAGAGAGAGGGGTAGCGACCGTATGCCACCGTATGTGCAAGCGGATACAAATGCAGATGTAGATATACGCATAAACGCACTAAGTAGTAGTAGTGAAACGGGAATGAGGAATGGGGATTATGAAGTGCAAGCTCAAGGAAACAAAGGAGTGTTTAAGGAGCCTTTCGCGCAGATACACACAAATACGACCACATACAAGTACAGCAATGCTACGGTCAGTGCACCACTAGGCTCACAGCCAATGACTTTTTCAACAACCACTTCGCACAAAACGTCGAGACACGAGAGTCATACAGACACGAGCACACGTGTAAGTGCTCACACGGGAATTACGTTGACACAGGGGAGCTATGTGGAACCTCGCCTGCAACCGTTAAAGTTTGGTAGAGACGGGCTTAACAACACACACACAGGTGTAAAGACGCTCCAAACGGCGACGAGAGATGTGGTGCAGAAATCTATGGCTACTAACATAGCAGGCGGCAGTACCGAACTGCCCATTACTCGACCTACAAATAGACACGAGAGTGCGTCTACGTACGCCCATAGGCGTACGATGGGTAAGGGCAAAGACCCGCTCTTGGATGGGATGGATAAGGAGAATGTGGGGAGTGCAGGGTCTGATCGAATGGCCACGAGATACATAGAGAGCCGTGGACAACCTTATATAGATGAACATGCATCACCACAGACACGTACACCCACGCAATCTGATACAAAATTTCAAACTCAGGTACACAAGCACACATACTCTGTGGTTGATCCGTCTGTAGCAAGTGCACAGGCATACACAGAGTCAACGGGACGACAGGATGATATAGTACCCTCTATTACAGAACGTGTACGACCTCATTTACCCCCAACGACGACTAGCAAGTATAACAGAACCAATATTCGAAGTATAGGATATACTGGAGATGAGCTTCAGACTCCGCATGCAAAGACACGACCTACTTCATACACTCCATCTACCAAAGATACGCACACACACACAAACACCAACACACATGCACAGATACACACAGGCACGCGTACATGTACACATACCAAGCGTATTCCCCGGGGGGAAAGAATAGGCACAACCGAGCCCAAAGATGATGGGAAAGAGGTCAACCCGCTGCTGCACAGACTGTGCATGCACCTGGTTGATAGGAAACAGCGCAAGCTGAGGCGTAGAGGCTCTGTAGAAGGCACACATACCCTCAATAACGAACAGCGAGTGCAGGAATTGGTAGCACATGCGAACAGACTCCTGGAGAAGCAGGCGAGGAAGAACACCAGGCACAAGACGGGGGTTATAGCGGGTTGTAAGGTCGCCGATCGAATCAAGGGTGACTTCACGAAATGCGGGAGAAGAACGTATGTGTGTGTGTATGTGTGTATCTTTAGGGCAGAGGGTGTGTGTATGTATACGGAAGATCAGTGATTGTAGTTGGTTGTGAATTGATCACTATAGATTGTGCGTAAGGAATTGGATTTTATGCATGTTATTTTTTTACACCGATTCGCTTGCGATGTCAAAGGTATCTGCCTTGTATACGAGGGCAACCCTGTACAAAACCCTTGCAGACTTCTGAAGGAGTGCAGTTCTTCAAAGATGCTATCACAAAGGTGAAGAATATACGATGAAATATAGGATGCTCTCATTCTTTGGCATCGATTGAATTCTAACTAATGATTTCAAACTCTAGCAACTTTATGTAGCTAAGTCGGTAGTGTGCAGAGAATTTGCGCACTCAAGTGCGATGCACGCGTGTACGCATATGAGGTGCACGTGCATTTTTTTTTCTGGTGTATATATTGCAGTAATAGGTACCATAATCCATGATGGCTATTGTGTATGTGAGCGAAAGTAATGTGAAAATGATGCGCACCGCTCACGGTATTGTTATTTATTTACGCAAAGTCGCTCGTGCAAGCGTGGGCTCCACTGCATACTATGAATTGCACATACGAGTGCGTGGTATTTATAGTGCATCATTCTGATCTTATTATTAAGAGATGCTCACAGATGTCATTGACAAGTGCACGCATATGTATGTATGTTTATTCATCTGGAGGTTCCGACAAGCCAATATTCCAACACTGTGGTTGCACTCGGACATGCACAAGTATTTATTGTTTACCCGACTTTTGTCTGCGTATAGGGTTTTTTTCTCGTCATATAGAGTCTAAAAATGTATATTGGTACACACGTACCTAATGGCGCCACGTCTGTATGAGTGCATGCCATCACTGTAAAACCTCCATGTCATTTCGGCATATTTGCACACCTACATACTTGTATCTAGTCACATATACCTCAGTGTTGTATACTAATCCAGATTCTCCTTTCCCTGTCCCCTGTCCTTGGTACAATCTCTCATATTGCTTTCATCATTCACGCGATACTGACTGTGACAATCATGCCGAACATTGCTTGCACTTGCCCTCCTGGCGCACACCTGCTCCCACCTTTATTTCTATTTTTAGCATACAAACTTTAGCCTTGTAGTCATTTGCCACGATGGGATCTGCTGAGCTGCGACCAGCCATTTTGCTGACATCGCTGTACCCATTTGTACTGTTACCTCAATTCTAACTGCATCTATCACACAATTTATACCTGATCTACGCATTACTATGTCACCAATTTCATGACTAATTGATGTAACGTGACATTCTACACAGGGATGCAAGAGCCTTCGATAACCTGTTTTCTCAACTCGTGGCCTGCCGTGATTCGTCATTGTCGCCGCACATTCTGCGCTTTTTGGCAACACTTAGAGACCAAAATCTAGACTTAAAATCAAACAACCTAAATATAGAACAACAGAACCCAAATTTGGAAGACGACCCGGTCTTGGAAGGAGAGGAAAACGTCCTCAATCTATCGCTACTCAGCCTCGATGCCACTCCCTCAAACGCGAACAAGAGCTTCAGCAGGTAGTTTCGAACGTCTGTTATAGGCCACTTGTGTATATATGTTGTACGATTAGTCAGCACGCTAGTACTTGGTTCACGTCTTTCGCGACACAGGTCATTTGTCTATGGTCGGGTTGAGTGTACTAAGAGTATGCATATATGAGTGATTGTCAAACTCTCTGTGTGTGTAGTGACCGAGAAGATTGAATATTGGCATAAATCTAGCAATACAAGATTATTGACTTTGATCACGGTACACTCAGACACACACGGATTATCTGTGTCGGGTGTGAGTTTCATTGGGGGATTGTATAGTAATGAGTGCTGGGTTACAAAGCTTAAGTCACAGTTACATGGACTGTGTTAGAATGAGTGTTGCGTATACCTCCGGAAAGTGCACTCTTTGTCACCGCATGCAAAACCTCATATGGAACCTGGCTCACAACGCTAATGAAGTTTCCACGAGCACAATATATCCGCATATCGACTCTGAAATACAATATCAATTGAAACCGCGTCGTTTACCTTTACTCGGCACAATTCTCATGACCTACCTCAGAACGAAACCGGTACTTCCACCAAGTATATCAAGCAGCAGCAGAAGCAAAACAGTGGGAGGAGTGTCTGGAGTGCTCTCGAGGGCTAGTACAACTCATCGAGCGCACACATCAATTGCGCAACAAAATACACCGAGTAAACCTTCAGCAAATGCCACAGATCTGGGCGCCGCCACAACGATACCAACATCGCCGACCAGGAGAAGGAAGGGAAATAAAGATGGCTCTGATGCCCGGGTTGGAATTGCCATAGATATGGACAGTGATATTGCTACAGATACTAGACACACGCGGACCACTCACGCGGACGACATAGATACAGCACATCCTATATATACTCAGCAATCGCACATGGGGTCCAGAGGCGATGACCATCAGAATATATATAGTGAAGCGCACGAGCCACGGCTACTACTACCAGCACAAGCACAGGAACGGCCCACAAATGACTATAGAGACACACAACGGGCGCATGATGGTGGGAAGCGGTCGGTGCATCTACCACAAGCGAACAATGGGTATGTCCACGAAGGGGAGAGGCACGGGACCCATGGCTTACAAACTCCAGGTGAGAGTAAGGCCAACACTGAGCACAGCCAGATACCCGGTGACGATCACCTGAGAGATGCCATATCACCTATAACAGGACATAATGCGCAAGCGCGCAAGCGCGGACAAAGGAGAAGAGGAAGAAATCCGGAGACGGAGAATAGCATTATAGTTCTAGATGAACACGACCCGAGCTTGGTGAGTACCTCAATTTGCAAAAACAAAAATTTCTATACATATCGATATGTCTATATATATATATATATATAATGTATATGTATGTATGTATGTATATATGTACATATTTATATATTTTTATATCT